TTTTACATGCAAATTGTTCACCATTTTGTTTATGTGTACATAAATGTGTAACACCAAATTGACCCCTTCCTAATTCTTTACCTATGGAATATGTTTTTCTAACATCTTCCATTGGTCTTCCTAATACTGGACCTATAGGGGATTTTTTAGATGGTTTTGAAGAAGGGTCAGGAGATTTTGTTGGTGTAATTGAATTATTACAACTTTTTGATTGATCATCATTGGATTTTTCTTTACTCATAATATGATCATCATCATTAGGTTGGCCCCTTGAACAACAGTTCCCCATTTGTATTAGGGGGACTAAGCTAAAAGGGCAAAATAAATTATTATGAAGATGATGAACAAATAATAACAAAGAGAAATATGAAAAAAAAAAAAAGAGAGAAAAGAGAAAGAGAGTTAATCTAGGAGAAAGAAAAAAGATAAATGAGTGAATGCAAGAGAGAGAGAAAGAAGAGTAAACTTTGCATTTGGATATTAGTTAGAGGTTGAGAAAATGTCTTTCTTCTTTACATTTTTTGCCCTTTGACTTTGAATTCATTAGTGGATAAAGTATACCATGTCATCTTATACATATTGTCTTCTTTTAAGCAATTTACACTCACTTTAAGAATAGTATTTAATAAAATTAATTATAAAAGTATTATAAAATTAATCTAATATTATATTTAATAAAATATTTTGAAATTTTATATGGCAATTGGTGGTGCGTGGTGATGACTAACGTTGGTGATTGTATGTATCAATTTGGGATAATAGTAATGATAATGATGGTTGTGGATAATATCTTATGGTATAGTGGTTGGCAGTAATGATTAATTGTGGTTGATGATTGTGGCGGTTGATAATTAATAGTGGAATGATACTAATCGCTAATAATAGTGATGAAAGATGATGGTGGCTAATGATATATAGTGTTAACTAATGACGGTAATTATTGATAGTAATTAGCGAATGTAAAGCAATTGGTCCTGATGATGGCAAATGATGGCTAATGGTGGTGACGATTGATTTTGGTGATTAACGGTAGTGTGTAGTTGTGGTTGGGTTGAGGATAATAGTTGTAGATGGTAGGTGGTGGTGATTGACAATGATGGTAGTTGTGGCCGAAATGATGGTTGTGGGTGGTAGTAGTTGCTGCTGAAATAGTGGTTGTGGGTTGTGATAATTGTTGCTAAAAGTAGATGCAATAGACTTCTTAGTGATATTAAGACTTTATCATACATCTTAATCATTCGGACCCATTAATAAGTGATTGTAAAATAAGGAAAATAAGCATATTAATAATTAAGATTCAGACCTTAATAATAAACAAACGTAATGACTAGATCTGAAATAATTAAGATTAAGATTTGAAACAAGGTTTAATTGTCTTTTGTGGATAGTTAGAGGCCCTTGCTTTAATTTTTTGCTTTCTTGGATTTGGATGGCCTAAATGGCTTAACACTCTGAATGGTAATTGTTGCAAATATATTTCATCCTCACAGCAGAGAAAATTAAATTAAAGCTAAAGATAAGTTTGAGTGAAAAGGAGGCACAGAGTAAATATAGAGAAATTAACAAACTACAATTACCATACAAGTTTACCAACTAATTAATAAACAAATTAGGGGACAATATGGAATTAAGGATAAGAACAAATTTTTTTAATTTCCAATTAATTAGTTCTACCTTTTCCACATATCCTAGTTGACATGTTCAACCTCATTAGCATAGCTTCAACGTCCTAGAGTGTAACTGTCACCATCAAAATTTCATGAGTGCAACTAGGGGTGTTCACGATTTGGATAAAAATAAATTCAAATTGAAAAATCAAATTAAACTAAACTAATTATATAAAACGATTTTATTTAGGTTTAATTTTATATTTTTTAAAATCGATAATATTTTATTTTGTTTTGATTTTAGTTTTAAAAATCAAAGAAATAACTGAACCAAGCCGACAAATTATATACATCTATTTATTTAATTATACATACAAAATGTATTACTTTTCATAAACAATTTTAAATATCTTATATATGTTTTCATCAAAATTTAATTATAAATTATTTATGACACTTAGATTAGCAAAATTAACAAAAAACTGAAACATATATGCAGAAGCTAAAATTGAATGTCTGGATGAACCCATAATACCGAGATAAACAATATCTAAAAGACAACATACTTGACGAAAATCTAAATCGATTATTTGAAAACCTCTACTAATATGAGTTGCTAGGACAATCTCTAGCTAACTCTAATATGTCTAAAACTAAAAGTAATGACAGAAAGAAAATCATAAAGGTTGTCCTCGGATAGATGAGGACTCATGAACTCGTCTGCTAGCTGATCGGATCTATACTAACAGCAGGCCTAATGATGTGCGTCAGAACCTATATTATCAAAAATATAGGCAGAAAGTATGCAGTCAATACTTTGAATATACTGAGTATGGAGAAAAAGTATAAACAACATGATATCGGAAGATACTGAATTTATGAAACATGTTGATGCAATGACTAAGTAAAATAACACGAAGCTGAGATATACTGATTTGAAATACATAAGTATAAGGTCATGCAATGATTGAAAATTTGATGGTGGGAGATACTAAAACCGACATAAACCATGTGAATTACTACATGGATTTCAATGTACTACTCCTACAATGAAAAAAGAGTGTTTAATACTTGCCATAAGAACCAGATATCTGAGCTAAGGTGGATCACTAGCTAATGTCTATCTGAGACAAATTTTACGGTAGGTGATTGCTACTAAAGGTCTACTGACGCTAAACATAAACCTTCATCCCTAAGGTCATTCGGTGCTAAGTATGCTCTCAACAAAACAAACATAATTTGAAAACAATAATAATCTGATACTACTAAATCATGTTGATAATTGATAAATGCTGAGTAGGTTATAAACCATGATAACTGAACAAAATTTGAAAGACACTTTATTTGAAAGCATGTAAATTATGATATATAAATATGAAAATATACTGAGAGATACTTTATCTAAAAGCATCATAATTCATGAAAATATGAGACATTCATCTGAAAATAGCATAATCTTGATCATGAAAAATACTTGTTTGCTATGAGTTCATGGAAATATCATTGAAAACATTAAATTATAATAAAAAATCATGCAATTGAGGATCAATCATGAAGAACAATCTAAATTTCAATAAGAACTCGTGAAAATAATGGAAACTCTAATTTTAGAGAAATTATAACTTGAGAAATTGAAGTTTCTTTGTGACTCAATAGGTAAAGAAGAATGCATTAATGAAGTTCTCATATACCTGAAGTAGAAACCCTAACTTGTTTTGACGCTTTAGAACGCTAACTTGCTTGAGGGAGAAGACTTGAGATGGAAGAAATTTGGTTTGGGATAGACATTAGAGTCTTTAGAAACCACTTAAACTCACTTAGAATAGGCCAAAACGACATAGTACAAGAATTAAAAGAGTGAGAAAATACCCAAATAACCCTGATTAAAATTTGATGGAAGAACTCTATGAGGACATCTATGATCCGTGGTTCCATTTACGGTCCCTGGAATTATGTCCATAGAAATCAAAAAAGAAATCCTGAGTTTCTGAACTTTCATTACCGTTTAGGTCCATTATAAATGAAAGTTTCTTAGGTCTTTAAATGGAGAAATGGATGAAATGAGGGAAAGGGGTGAAATTGGAGTTGGTGAAAGGATGAAATGTGGGGAAAAAGGAGTTAAATTACACTTCTATGTGGAGGTGGATGTGTTGGCGTGCACATGTGGAGGTCCATGTGGCATTTTTTTTTTGGTTTCCCACCGGTGTCCGGAGCCCACATTGGAGCTCCGACTAAATTCAGATCGCGCTCTGCAGGGCCCATTCGGGGGTGGCGCTCCCAACAAGATTTTCTCCATACCAGGGCTCGAACTCGAGACCTCTGGTTAAGGATGAAGAACTCCCACCAGTGCACCACAACTCATGTTGGTTGGCATTTTTTTTATAATACACACATGGATGCCACAAAACTCTTCCGTTAGGATCCGGCTTCTCTCCATTTCCCCAAGTTCTAGCTTGGATGGGAGACACATGTCATATTTTAGAATTAATGGTTGAGATCTGATTGATTAAAACAAAGTCCTAACCATAGTTATTTACTTCCATATATTTGCTTCTTAAATTTTTTTGCAATCCATTATATTTTCCCTAAATATATTAAAAAGAATTTCTTTTCTTAATTACTTAAGTAATTTTTTGCTGATTTTTTACTTTTTTCCCTAACGTTTGCCATTTCTCAAATAACATTTGCCAAATAAAAAATTAAAAATTGTGACCTGACGTTTTGTTTTTAATTTTAGGAGTAAGATAAATTTTGTCACACAACTTTAAATTCTTTCTTACTCCCTACATGGAGTCCATATTGCTCTATAGACACTGTAGCTCTTAATACTCTATTAGAATAATAAAAACGTTTAACTATATTATAATTTTTTTTCAAAAAAAAGTAAAAATATTTAGTAAAAGTTTTAAATTTGTATGTAGGGCAATAAAGAAAAGTTTTTAATATATTTAGGGAAAATTTAATGGATTGCAAAAATATTTAAGAAGCAAATATATGGAAGTAAATAACTATGGTAATGACTTTGTTTTAATCAATTAGATCTCAACCATTAATTCTTAACTATGACATGTGTCTTCAATCCAAGCTAGAACTTAGGGAAAATGGAGAGAAGAGGATTGAAGAGGAGTCGGATCCCTTCCGTTAAACAAAAATGTAAGTGTGGTCCAATAATTAGATGAGAAGGGCACTTTTGAGACAAAATATAGTTTAATGGTATATTTAATCTATTTCGAATAGTGTAAGAGTAGTTTTGACCTTTTCCGTAAATTAAATAAAAAAGAAAAAATTAGATGAGGCCATCTTTTTTTTTTTTCAATTGAACTGAAAGTCAAAACTCAAAACTGATTGCAATGGAATCTTTATCCAATTTTGATCACAACGTATAGAGATTTACTCAACAATTTGATTCAATGGAGTTTTTCCTCAGAGCTCAATTTTTGATTCCCTTGATTTCGGTGCTTGCTCTTTTCCCTCTTTCCGAATCCAACAATAACCAGGTATTTCTTCTCTATTTAATTTGAATTTTCAAGAGATATTTATTAAATATGATGAAAAGATTATTGATTTCTTAGTAACGTGATTTCTTGACTCTTATTTTGAGTCGAAGAAAGTAATAATTTGTAAATCGAAGTTGTGTTTGGACATGAATAAAAGTTGAATTTTTGTGAGGGAACATCATGATTTCACTTTTTTTTTTTTTTATGAATGTGCTGTTCGGGCAGCTTTCACTTACATCGACTGATTCCATGGGATACCTGTCACCTCACACCAGCAACAGGTATCAAGTAACTCTGTCCACTTAGGCTAGGACAATCTATGTTGCTCGGACTCTAAAAAATGTCAACGGGTGCATGTCGGATTCGCCAAAAGTAGTGTATTTTTGGAGAATCCGACACAGGTGCGGCATCAAGAGTGAAGAGCCCGTGCAACTAAGAGGACATATGTGAATAATCACATAATATTTTTTGTCTCCGCTAGGATTTGAACCTAAAACCTCAGGACCACTGTTGAATCTTCGGGTGGTTTTCTAATAAGCTGATTTATTTCATTGTGTTATTTCTGTTTTTAGTACTCAATGAACTGTTCCAGATTTTGTGCATGTACTTTCATTTGAATCGTGATAGATGATTAAGATTTATGAATATGAACTGTAGTATGTAAAGTTTGAGGAGTAAAGAAAATAAATAGAATTTTCTGCCTTTCATACCATTGTCAAGCAGTTTCTTTTTTTGAAGGATGGTTTAAAATCTAAATCCTTTTTATCTTTCTCAGTTTTGTGATGCCACAAATATTTATGGAAATTCTGGGTGCGATGTTATGTCGTCAGTTTCATCAAAGATACTGATAAAAGGAGGAACTGTAGTGAATGCTCATCATAAGGAGGTTGCTGATGTGTATATAGAAGATGGAACAATTGTGGCGGTGCAGCCTAACATTAAGGTAATTGTTGAAGTTTCTCTATTTGGTTTGAGTTTTCTTGATTGACTGGGAAGTGAATAATAGTTGGGCCTCTTGTCTATTGTGATTGATCTCTCTGAGCTGATAGCTGAATTTGATGCCAATTATTGTTCTTAATTCATTTGTATCTAGCCACATTTTGTTCTTATTAGGTGGAATAACGAAAGGGTTTAGCAAATATTCTGTTAACAATCTGATCAATCAGAAAACGATTCTCGTATGTGAAAGTTTGACTGGTATAATTCTGAAATAAACCCTGGTCCCTAGGACACCAAGATTGAAAGACTAGCAACTATTGTGAGTTAATGAGAACATGTTATTGTTTAGTGCAGTAAGATAGTATCTTCTTGTTTTGTTTTCTTTTTCTGGATTCAGCTGAAGACAAATCCAAATGAATTCTCATGGTATATTATCACATGAGATTATCATGTCCGAACTGTGAGCTAGAATGTTCAGGTCTGGAAAAATATTTGGAAATCCTGGGTTGTACCCTAGAAAACGGAAGTTTTGCTTAATTTTGCAAGGAAAATATGCTTTAAATTAGTCTAGAGGTGGCCGGTGGGTAAGCGTCATAAGATGAGATTCTAGAGGATAGTTTAAAAAACCCTGGACATACTTTGGTGGATATATGGATGAAGGATCATATGAAAGTTTTTACTGAGGAAGGAATAGCTTTTTTGACTTCATACCGTTTTTCTAAATGTCACATCATTATCACTGGATATAAATTACCCTGATTACTTTAGCACGATAGAAAGAACTTCTTGCTTTCTCATTTTATGATGCTGAAGTTTGCTGAGCCGGGAGAATTGTCTTAGTATTCTAGTCCTTCCTTCCACTTTGTGTTTTAGGTTCTTTTGTGTCTTCACTTGTTGGTTAGTGCGATGGTCACATTTATTCCATTTACTTCTTAAGTTGACCTGCTAATAGGCAACTGCTGTGCCCTCAAGCTGGCTTTATTTATTCATGAAACTCCTTGTATGTTTTCACTGGTTGATTATCTTTATCCTTAACGGGTAACTTCATTGCTTTTCATCTGAATATGATGCACAACTCATGACCATCTGCAGGTTGGTGACGATATCAAAGTCATTGATGCAACTGGAAAGTTTGTCATGCCAGGTAGAGTTTCGTTCTTCAGGGCTGAGGGGCTCAGTTGATTGCATTTCTAGTCTCAGAATTGTAGTTTTGCTTTTTTAGTCCTGCCAGAAAAAAGACCCGTAATGCATGACTACTGTAGAAAAATATTTTTTAGTGTCATATGTGCAGCTCTTACATCAGTTCCATTTACGTTAGTTTTATGTGAATTAGCAGTGTTTTTGTTTAATACAAAATATTCCAGATGAGAGCATTTTCTCGAAATTATAGTTCCTAATAAACAGTCTCACTAGTAAACCTTGGCTAACAGACAATTTACCTTCGCTTGCTGATTCTTATGACGATGACAGGAGGAATTGATCCTCATACTCACCTTGCTATGGAATTTATGGGATCCGAGACAATTGATGACTTCTTCAGTGGACAGGCGGCTGCATTAGCTGGTGGAACAACAATGCATATTGACTTTGTTATTCCGGTAGATGGAAGCTTATCTGCAGGTTATGAAGCTTATGTAGAGAAAGCTAAGAGGTCATGCATGGATTATGGGTTTCACATGGCAATTACAAAATGGAATGAAACTGTTTCAGAGGAGATGGAAATTATGGTCAAGGAGAAAGGTTTTACTTATTTCCAGAGAGTGTTACTTTCATATGAATACTTTTAAGTTTCGGTTCATTCTTGCAGGGTAGTTCATGGGAAGCATCTTCCTCTCTGCACTTTTCGGTATCTCTTTAGGTACTCCGCTTGACTTTATTTCTCTTATCCTAGGTATCAACTCTTTCAAATTTTTCCTTGCCTACAAAGGCTCCTTCATGGTTAATGATGAGCTTCTGATGGAGGGATTGAAGAAGTGCAAGTCCCTTGGTGCTTTAGCTATGGTTCATGCAGAAAATGGGGATGCTGTATTTGAAGGTCAAAAAAGAATGATCGAACTTGGTATTACTGGTCCTGAGGGACATGCACTATCAAGGCCTCCAGTGGTAAAGTCCACCTATTTTGCTTCAACATTCATGCCTAGGAATAAGCTGATTTAGTTTTTTCTGTCTTCTAGCTTGTCAACATGCATGCATGCACTTTTTCCCTATTGCCACCAAGTAGCCGGAGCTTTGAGTTCCAGAAAAAAAACCAATTATTTGGTAGAAATTTGTGTTGTAGGATGGTAATGCATTCTCATTATTAGAACCAGTTGATGCATTCTCATTATTAGAACCTGTTAAGTGATAAGAAGAGAGAATAATGTCTAGGACATCCAATGTAGGAAATATTTTTCATTTTCTAGAAAGGAATGTATATTACAATGCATAACATCTTGAGGCAATGATATTAAGGCCTGCTGACCAACAATACAAGAAATTGCTTCTATTTGTTACAGCTCGATAGGTATAGTGAAGTAAAGTATTTCTACTTCAGGCTTTTATGTGGTTAAGGTTCCTTTCGAATTCTCCCTTTCTCTTTCTTGAATATATGTATGCTTTCTCATTTGGTAGAAAAAGTTTTTACAGTCGGCCAACTGTATCTTAAAAAGTACTTATCATTTTAATAGCTTTCGTTTGGACAACTTCACTAATGAAATTGTGGCATTACTATTATTCTGGTAATCTTTCGTGAAATTAATTAATTAAAAGTCGGATGAGGGTTCTGTATCATAGGTACAAAAATGTGAATGTATTGTTTGACATGACAGAACTTGCTTTCTAGATAAGTTATGTAGGTGATCATTACGATGAAGAAACGGAAGCACTTCTTTAATTCCTATTAGTTAAGTAAACTGAATATATGAGTTAACTCAATAAACCATATAGACAAGCTTATGTGTATACATATAGTTGGATTGCATATGAATAAGAAATAACATGTTTAGGTCTTCTGCATATGTTGACAGTATAGGATAGGTGAGTGACCATTGGTCAAATAATGGGAAAATATTTGGACACAGCACAAGGTGTGTAGATGCTTGGTAACTATAGTTGTCACCATGGATAATCATATTGTTTTTTGGATAAGGCAGTCATTGATAATTAAGGGTCTTCATGAAAAACCGAAGTAAAAAATAATTTAAAACTAAGGGATGGTAAGGGTTCTATTCTAATAAGCACTGGATAGCCTATTTTCGGATCCGAGCCAAGGATCATATATCCATTTTTTGCTTAGTGGATAGCCTTTTTCTAAACCCACCCTCCAGTACTAGCCTTAGCAACAATGCAGCAAAGAGAGAGCCTTTCCAGCATCTCGGGAATTGTTTGTCGCTTTGCACCTTGAGTTTTCTCCGCTCGGGAGAGGAAACACCTGGAAGCATCTCCTGCTCAAAAATTCGAATAGAATCGTAAACAAAGGATTAAGCCAACTATGAGAAATATAGGAAGAGAATATTATTGAATTGTGTTGTCGTCATTATTACATTGAGACCCTATTTATAGACACTACAATATAATCCTTTACTAAGTAGGATACTATTTAGTATTCCTATTTTTATTTCTATTCCTATTCCTATTCTAATAGGATTGTATAAACCTATTTCTATTCTAATAGGATTATATAAACCTATTCCTATTTTAACACTCCCCCTCAAGCTAGTGCATACAATTCATGTACCTAGCTTGTTACAAATGTAATTAACACGAGGACCGATGAGGGGCTTGGTGAGATATCTGCAAGTTGATCAACCGACTTCACAAAATTGACACTCAATCTCAATGTGCTTGGTCTTCTCATGAAATACTGAATTTGATGCATAATGTCGATAAAACACAGAGTGATAAAATTACAGTGTTGGAACTTCCCAAACCAAGCTTGCAAAAAGACTATTTCAGACCATAGAGTGACTTACGTAATCAACACACAAGGCTACTAAACTCTCCATGAGCAACAAAATTAGGTGGTTGCTCCATATAGACTTCTTCACAATGCAGCGGTCGTCGTAAGTGCTCAAAATCTAGTATAAAGTATATGGATCATGTTGGAATCAATAGACGAGTCAATATTAAACAAGAAAGTCACCAAAAAACTGGCCGGAACAAGCTCATATGCCCGAGTATTAGATTTGTGGCTAAAAGTGGTCACAATCTAACAAATAATATTATATTGGTAGGGTCGGAATGATATCACGACCCAACTAGAAAATAAAAATTATATAGGATAGTTTGAATTTATGGAACGACCCCATTGAAAAAGAGAAATAATATGGGTAGGGTCAGAATGATGGCACGACCCTGCTGAAAAAGAAACGGGTAGGGTTGGAATGATGGCACAACCGTACGCAAATCAGATTTGAGGAGTCATCGAAAAGACGAATGGAACTATGCAAATCAAATCTGATGAGGAGTCATTGAAAAGACACATGATGCTATGCAACTCAGATATGAGAAAGTAGTTCGGAAAAATCCACGGTACTACACAAATTAAATATGAAAAGTAGTCCGGAGAGATGCACGGTGCTACGCAAATCAAATATGCAAAAAAAGGTAGTCACTAGAAGGATAGCACGGTGCTACACAAATTAAATATGAAAAAATAGTCATAGAAAAGATACACAACGACCCAAATTTTGTTAACATAATCGTAGGTCAGACGAGCGGCATATATGGGTAATAGCTGCCCGCCGGCAGCGGAAGCTCTTTGATTGTTTACCAAGATCGTAGAGGTTCTGATACCATGTGAGAAATATTGGAGAAGAATATTATTGAATTGTGTTGTCGTCATTATTACATTGAGATCCTATTTATAGACACTACAATACAATCCTTTACTAAGTAGGATACTATTTAGTATTCCTATTTCTATTTCTATTCCTATTCTTATTCTAATAGGATTGTATAAACTTATTCCTATTCTAATAGGATTGTATAAACCTATTCCTATTTTAACACCAACATTTCTTGGTTTTATTTTGGTTTTATATTTTAGAAACTGACATAATTTGGTTTGGTTTTGGTTTTAAGCAAAAAAGGGAAAATACATAAAAAAAAACCCTGAACTTGGCACAAAAACTTACTTTAGTACTTAAACTACACGGGTGTTTATATACCCCTTAACATATTTGATGTGAATTATTTTTAACCCTCCGAACACCAGCCCAGTTGAAGGCTGGGCATTGTTACACACACGCGTTTTCATTGGTCCACGTCGCTAAGGGTTTAAAAAATATCTTACCTGTTTTATATAACCCACCCGTTCCCAAAATACAACCCGACCCATTTTTAAACAAATATCCCTAAATCTCTAAGCCCGATTCTCATTCTCTCAAATCTACAATGGAGGAAAGAAAAATCAAAATAATAGATGAAGAAGAATAGGTTTGAATCTTACATTTTGAAGAATAATTATTTCTTCAAAGATTCAACTTTTAGGTTTGAAGAGCTAAGATTTGAGAAAAATCAAGAAAAAAATAATGAATTAGGTCACATTTTTTGGATGATTGGGTTGGTGAGGGAGAAGAGGAAATTAGGGTTCTTTAAAAGTGAAGATGGATCTTCAAATACGTAATGGGTCGGATATTACCGTTGGAGGGTCAAATTTTATTTTTAAAAAATGTTAAAAGATGAATTACGCGCCGTTCCAAGCTGTATCAACACGCGCACGAGGCTGGTGTTCGGAGGGTTGAAAATAATTCACATCAAATATGTTAAGGGGGTATATAAACACTCGTGTAGTTTAAGTACTAAAGTAAGTTTTCGTGCCAAGTTCGGGGGGGGGGGGGGTTATGTATTTTTCCAGCAAAAAATAACCGAAAACCCCCAAACCAAATTGACTATCTAAGCACACATTAAAAAAATTGTAATTGCGCGCGCGCACACACACACATACTGTACATATTAATCTTTTACACTCTTGGTTCGTAATCTAGGTGTTTGCGTTTATAGTAATCAAATTACTTGTCTTCACTCTCTAGTTTGATTTATAATTTTTATTTTGGTAATGCCAAGAATCTATTTCATGTTCAAAATAACTTGTACTCTTTTAATTATTCATCATCGTTAAATTCAAATATCGTCAAGATATCTTGATATATCACAACTAAATCTTTAATTTTTTGCACAAAAAATTCATTGTAAGAACTTCTATTATATTCCTTATAATTGACTAAATTCTTGGCTAATGACCTTGACATCCTCTAATACACTCCTTAAAACAATATTCATCCAATTTACTATATACTAATTTTGAATTAGAGATCAAAATTAGCATCACCATAATTGTCATCAATGGAATAATTTCATTCTTTTTAGCCATATTTTTTTTGGAACTAACTTATTGTGTTGTGATTTGATGAACTGATGGTGCTTCTTATATATACATAATATAACATACTTTTTTGGAGGAAGCTATATATATAACTTGATTAAATATATATAGATTTCCTTCTTTTCTTAAAGAGTTATTGACTTGGTAGTGTTATGTTGTAATATAGTTGACTTAATGTGTACTTGGAAGTATATTATCATATATTTTATAAAAAACCCGACAAAAACCAAAGCGATGAAAACTCAACTTAATTGGTCTGGTTTGTTCTAGTTTGATTCCAACATTTGATAAACTGAGTTACTTCGTTTGGTGTCCTTGTAGTAAAAAACCAATCCAAACCGAACCGTGAACACCCCTATGGATAATCATGGACATATACTTTCAGAAGTGCTGATGCTATGTAGTTGTATGAATTAAATATATGTTAAATTATGGTGATTTCTTCAAGAATATTTGTTATTTGTCGTATTTCTGTTCTTTCAAGCCAACAATGTCCTCACACTGATTGTGAATGTTTGTTCTTTGATTTGACATGGCTATTTCATTCTTTGAATAACTTACCTAATGGTGTTCCTTGCAATGTCGTTAATAATTGCAGCTGGAGGGAGAGGCTACTGCTCGAGCTATTCGTTTGGCTAGCTTTGTGAACACTCCATTGTATGTTGTTCATGTCATGAGTATTAATGCGATGGAAGAAATTGCCAGAGCTCGGAAGTCAGGTTTGGCATTAAGTGTTTGAATAGTATATTTGATGGAAATTTGGATTAGTGCTTTGTAATGCTTACTTTATGGTGAATTTGCAATGATTAACTGTCCCCTCTAAGGAATATTAGCAAGTATTCCCATCATTTCATCCATGCAAACCTATTCTGGGGCTAAACTTTTGTTATTTTTTTAATTGACCATGGAGCTCCTTTGATACGAGGGTCCTCTTTTCTGCTCCTTGCTGTAACTAAATCGTTTACTCTACTTTGAACTTACCAACCTTAACTGGGAACTTGTAACCAAAACTTAACTTGGTACTTGCAATGTTTCTATCTCTAACTTCCACTGTGCGCGTTTTTGTCTCCTCTCTGAAAGACACGTTTATTTGGGTACTCTTTGATTTGGAACTATTTCTCCTCTATGTTAATGTTATTTATCAAAAACCTCTGCTTCAGATGCCAGTTTCATGGGACTTCACTTATGCCTCTATACTAAATTTACCATCTCATTTCAGGTCAAAGAGTTGTTGGGGAGCCAGTCGTTTCAGGTTTACTTCTTAATGATTCAGTACTTTGGGACCCTGACTTCCATTTTGCAGCAAGGTAAAAATCATTTTTTTCCTCTGTGGTTTAGCTTTTCTTTCTTTTCTTTTCTCCCTTCATAGATGGCATAAGATGCCCGTAAATGTTTTTACTATTTCAGGTATGTCATGAGCCCACCAATCAGAGCAGCAGGTCATGGAACAGCTCTTCAAGCAGCTCTTGCTGCAGGGGTTCTGCAGGTTTCAATCCCGATCTTTGTATAGATATCAATATATGCTTTTTTTGTGCTATCACAAAATTTAAAGCTACTTGGGGGACTCCATTGGCCATAGGAAATATCCAAGGTGGCGTTTGGCCATGTTTCGTTGTAAAATTTGAAAAAAGTAGTTCTGTTTTCCAAGTGAAAAATGATATTTGAAATTTGGAGTTGTATGTGACCATGACACAAATTAGAGTTGCTTTTGAACTTTTGTGAGTAATTTGGAGTTAAAAAAGTGAAAACAACTTTTTGTTGTTTTGGAATTTCTGAAAATTCCGAAATTCAAAGTTGAATTCGGGGATTTTCTGAATTTTTATGGCCAAACGTGTTTTCCGGAGTTCAACTCCAAAAAAGTACAAAAATATCACGGCCAAACACTACTCAAATATTCCACTTTCCCGTCTTATGATCCATCCATCAACTCATATGAGCAAGATAGAAGTCATTAGCGTTCCTTTTCTTGTCTATACAACTAATCAGCATGGTTTCATATATGCAGCTGGTAGGAACTGATCACTGTACCTTCAACTCAACTCAGAAAGCCCTAGGAATTGGTGATTTCCGGAAAATACCAAATGGTGTTAATGGTGTGCAAAAGTTTCTTTTTCCTTACATATATCTATTGCTGTGTCTTTAGCTTCCTTCTAGTGTATTTCTAAGTTCTTCAGTGTAACCATCTCTTTATAGGTATGGAGGAGAGAATGCATTTGGTTTGGGATACAATGGTGGTAAGCTGTGACATTTTCTATTGTTCTAAATACGACATGATGCTCAAATAAATTGTCCTATGCGAGTATATCTTTTACTTTCTTTCGATGGTTTTTTCAGGCATCTGGTCAGATATCTGTCACCGATTATGTTCGCATAACAAGCACAGAATGGTAAACTACTCAACTTATTCTGAATAACTTTTCAAAATTTGATAATGGGCCCTCCCCTCTACCCTTCTCTACTTAAGTACCAGACTTTTATCTACGACAGTGGTAAACTCCTAAACTTTGGCCAAAAGTCTTGCAGATGTTCTGATATATATATTTTCTTGATAACCATGGTGTTCGGTCTAGCTTGCATGTATCTCGACTAGCAGATGTTCTGATATTTATTTCAATGTGAATCTAATTCCACCAGCTTGATGCTTATGATTTCTTCTTTGGTTTAAATCGCTGTATTTCAATTTCTAACAATGCAACTGTCTTATTATGGAAGCTTAACTGGAAATATCTGATCTTGTGATTTAGTGCTCGGATTTTCAATATCTATCCAAGGAAGGGAGCAATACTTGTTGGGTCTGATGCAGATATAATCATTTTAAATCCCAATTCAAGCTTCAAGATTAGTTCAAAGTCACACCATTATAGGACAGATACCAATGTCTATGAGGGTTGGACAGGCAAGGTAAGCATTCAAAAACTATCGAGGTTTATGTATTACTCATAATTTTATGTTGTAGAACTTTGCCGAATGCAGTGATTCTATTGTTTCGATGTTCTTATGAATTTACTTAATGAGTGTTACAAAATATGATTAGCCAAATCAAATGAGTGACTCTAGAATATTTTCCTTTATTTGTTTTGATTTATTTCCTTTCGTAAAATTCCTTGTAAAAAACGGAGGTTATTTACTTTAACCTCTCTCTTCAGTAGTACTCTTTTCCAGTGCCATTTTCCAGCAAGTTTCATCACCATAAACAATTTCCAAGGGTATTTCGATTGAAGACAGAACAATCTATTTTGATGTAGGTTTCAAATCATATGATGTAACCAGAAGTGAAGCGACAACAGAGGTGGTATAATTGGACAGAATGTGATCGGAACCGTTAGAATAGGAATAGGAACAAGAATAGTATATAAAATCCTACTTAGAATATGAATAGAGATAGTATATAGAATCCTACTTGGTAAATGATTGTAATATAGTGTCTATAAATAGGGTCTCTGTGAAATAATGTAGATTCACAATTCAACAATATTTTTCTCCAATATTTCTCACATGGTATCATAGCACTAGTAAGAAACAACCTCTTTACCTCACACAAGGTAGGGATAAGGTCTGAGTACACTCTATCCTCTCCAGACCCCACTTGTAGGATCACAATGCATATGTTGTAGTTGTTGTTAGGTTTGTGGGATCACAATGAGTATGTTGTAGTTGTTAGGTGCCAACTATGGAAAGAAATATAAGAGAATCCTGCTATCTACATATGGGCTATGTACATTACTAAGAAAGAGGTCTATATTCAATCTATAACGAATATGATTGTGGATTCATCCTTTATTTAACATAGGAAAAACTGTTGTCAAACTTCACCTTAATACTGTTTGAACTCCGACCTTAACCTAAATATTAACCAGGATGCTTTACATCGTGTGTGACATTACGGGTAAAAAAATCTGCAATCAAATGTCACCTTTTAAGAACTTGTGCCTTCAGTATATTTTTATGTATCTTGGTGTATATATAGAAGCACCTAAACAGCCGAGTATTACATTTTGCTGGAATCTATATTCTCATGGATAATCACTTCATTTAAAAGTTGTAATTGTCCAATCCTATAAAAAAATTCTATTGTCGCGGAAAGGGAACTCTATATTTTTCTTGAAATGTATATTTTCTATAATTTAACCATCCACTAACTTTCTATTTTTTTTGCACTAAGTATACCAAATTTCCGCAGCCCCTCCTTTTACTGATTCTCAAACATTGCCACCGCTTTGTGTTTGCAATTTATTATACCTATGCGTTCTTTTTTATTTTTCCCATTTTATTCGTTATGCAGGGAAAGGTTGAAACTACAATTGCAGGAGGAAGGGTTGTTTGGGAAAATGATGAGCTGAAAGTCATCCCTGGTGCTGGCAAGTACATTGAAATGCCACCTTTCAGTTATCTTTTTGACGGGATAGACAAGGCAGATGCAAAGTACCTCTCTTCCTTGAGAGCACCCGTAAAACGGTCAACGACTTGATTTGGCAAATTCACTTTTCATTATGAGGAACAGAAAGTCTCTCTCTATTTACTTGTAAATACAGAATATCCTTAAGGACATTCAAACTCTTGCAGTTGCAGACAGGCCCTTGGGCATATACTGTTATTTTATAAAACTTATGTTTATTCTTTCTCAAAATAAAATAAAATTATGTTTATTCCATAAAGGATGTTATACAATGGTGTATAGCTGGATTACTGAATGGAGTTTGAGCATTTACTTCGTAGTGCAGAATAAAAGTAGATCCCAAGAATCACACAGCTTTTGATTATAACATTGCTAAATTTTCTTGATTTTTACTCCAAGCAAGAGGCTTGAATGCATATATATATATATACTCTGATGTAAAATGATAAAACTCTCTCATGTTTTCATATATGAATACAGGAGAGAAATAGTCATTTCAAGATTGCTACAAAGGGGGTCCTCGCTCACACTAAAAACCACGGCATCATACAGGAAGACAGCAACTAAGGTAGGTCATGAACTTCTTCTTTTTCCTCTGCACAAAGGACATGTTCAAATGATTAGAGGTAACCACAAACTAAAGCTATATCGGTACATACTGTTAGGCATGTCCTGATCCAAGGGCGTCAAGCAAGGACGAATATGGATCAGAACAAACCCCAATATACCCTTCTATCTGTTACTTACAGTATTGTAGAGGTGTTTACTGTAACATAATCTTTTTGAGATTAGGATGTCTTACCGTGGCAGCTTTCTCTCGCTCCCTGGATAGAAGATCCTGCTCAAAGTCATAGCTACGATGAGTTAAATCACTCTTGTGCTTCTTTCTGTTGGCGCGCGCTTGTGAGAACACCATAGAATAATTGGTCTCACTCGGAGTCTTTTGCTCCCACTCTCCAAATTGAGGTACAGACATCCAACCAGTTTTCTACAGATTTATGAAACCATCTGATAAGTTATTAAGAGCTGGTGAGTATCTTTCTTGTACAAATCTCATAGTAGTTTATGGATGATTAATATGGAATTCATCACTAGTACAACATTGAAGTGCTTGATTAAAAATGTGAACAAAATGAACACATTACTTGTTAGCTAAATAAATAATTTGATAGACAGACTGCTGTAAAGGGAATAATTTCACGCATTAAGTAGACTTCTAGGTGCACTAAGTGAATCACCTCCAAATTTGTTCATATTTGATTTGTCGGAAGTTTCAATTCTGACTAGAGAACATACTTTTGTTTTGTACCCTTGCACTCAAATTAGGTCAATTTCATTCCAATACTAAATTTTTTTCTTCTCAGACAAACTAATGATTATCAAAACAAAAGGATTCCGGACCAATACTTCCATACCAACTTACCGGTATGTATGGAGGTCTATGCTAGGTTTACTTTACATCCTACATCGAATTTGACTCATTACTTTCAGGACTGGTTTCCATTCTCTTTTATCACCTTCAATCATCATGTTTTCGTACATACTTTATTGTTCATATGAAGGTCTACAAGACATGACCAAACTATCCTAAGAGACATTCTCTCATTTTATCCTTTGTTTAGTTTCACTGTATTAGATGTGTCCTGCTACTCTTTTCCAATCTTGTATGACAACCCATCTATGTTAACATCCATATTTCTATGATATTCATCATGTGAATACGGTTCATAGAGGCCAGTAATCATGCGTTTACCAAACCAGAAACAAGTCTCTTTTATATGCCTAGAAGAAAGTTTGGGGAAAGTGCACAGATAACCGATTTTAGGACTCTTATTTAAGGCATAGCCGAAGATCATAGTTTTTTCCAAGTGTAACCGCTTCGAAATTAGATTCACAAATTTCTGATATAGCATTTAGAAGTTTGTCTTTCCAAAGCGTAATGTCTGAAGTTGGCATATATGACTAAACTTATATGAAAAAGTCTTATATCCAAAATTTTCAAACTCGAAGTGGGCTTGAAGGTGTTTCAAGTTTCTTTCTTCAAGCTTTAAACCTTCAAACTGGTACATTGTCTTTCAATCTTTTGAGCTCAAATAACCCCAAATCGATCTCAAGTGCCAAGTACTCCACAAATATCCAAAAATAGAAAGTCAAGTTTGAAGTTCCAATTTTTTTTCAACAGTGTTTGATATCTTCTAAACCTCAAACAGCAGATATTTTGGATTTTGATTCCACAAGATCACGAAATCAGATCTCGAATTGAAACAATTCCAGGGATTTCAAAATTTCAGTTTCAAGCTTGTCTCAAATTTAGGAAAAAAAAGTTCTTACCATAGGTGAAACATCTCTGTGTTTGCCAAGCTTTTGCTCAGTTCCCATGCTGTGGCATGCTAAACCATGTCTATGCTGCTTCTTTTTGGCACGATCCTGGGACAACCCCATGGGATAATTTGGACTGTTCCCAGTCTTCTGATCCCATGCTCCATAATGAGGCTCTGCCATAGGACTATTTTTCTAAAGACTCAGAAAGATAAAAAAAAAACAACTATCAGTGACACAATAACACCATGAGTAACCCACTCTCTGGAACAATTGAAATGTTATCTAAGTTTTGAAACATTAACAATAACATAAACTATGTTAGTTGAAAAGCTATCCAACATCCCCCGCATGCCCAGACGTGGCAACTGGAGAGTGGACAACATAATATGGGGGCCAACATCGGGTAAATCAAGAATTGGGATGAGCCACACCTTTGGCAGATGCATTATATTTTTGTACAATAAATATGTGCAGTACTTTTTTCTCTCTTCTCATGTAATTGTTATCATCCTTGACACCCAGGTCAAATCCCCCCTTTGTTAACACAAACTATACAGACTAGAGTTGTGTGGGATGATGTATGAATATTAACTTCCTAGTCACTGGTGCAACTGCTAATCTCCAAACCAGCAGTAGGTAATAGATCTAGTAAAATGCACAAGTAGATTGAGTTAAATCTTAATACATGATACATATGAATAACTTCATAACCTTTCCCAACCCCCACTAGACACTCCTATCCCAGTTGGGAAAATGGATTTAGACAATCTATTTTGAGAAGGGTTTAAACAGTAATCTATAGTTTTTGACTGCTGACAGAACCTATTGTTTTCATGTACCTAACTGAAAAAGAGTTGAAGGATTTTCATGATTGTCATCAAAAAAAAAAAAAAAAGAGTTGAAGGATTTTCTGTCTTATGTTTCTCAAGCAAAACCATACTATCACTTTCTTACCTTTACTAGTTTCATATGGAGGACCCTTTTAAATGCTAGAAAATGCTGTTAACTTTTACTGGTTAAGCATCTCCTCCTTTAAGTGGTTGGTCGAGCCTTTCAAGTCGTGTAGGGAGTAAGTAGGAACAATGTTGAAACCCCTAAGGTCATTTGCTCCTCTAAGTGAACAGCATACTACTCATGCTGTAAATTGTCTAACGACATGCAAAATAGGGGGTAGTAATCATGTTTTTTACTGTACCAATGACAGTTTCCATTGTACAACTGAAGAGAAGTTTGTCTTGTATCTCATAAGCGAAAAAAGCATGTCTTACCCTGGGTGAAACCTCACGGTGCTTGCCAAGCTCTTGTTCATTTCCCAAGCTGCGGTGTGCTGAATCATGCTTATGCTGCTTCTTGTTGGCACGAGCTTGAGGGGACACTTTCGAGTAATCAGGACTACCCCCACTCTTTTGATCCCACTCTCCAAATTGAGGAACAGACTTTGGACGAACCTTATACAATTTATATGAAAAATATTTTAGCGAAACAAAAAACTGTGGGTGTGTTCAGTATGAAGTAAAGTTTTTTGTTCCCCAACCTATCTTTAAGTTTTCTGTTCCCAACCTATCTTTATTCTCGATTAGTGCCTTTTAAGTTTAGTTCTCATTCATTTATTTTAGACGCTTTATTGTCATGATGTTAGTTTAGTAAACCCTTCATTATAGCAGCTTATAGATTATTGTTGCTTTGGTGAATGATGGTAGAGTAAGGACATGTCCTCGGGTGGGGCTGGGTTCAAGGGTTACAAGGGAGCTGAACATAGATACTTTGACGGGAAAGTCTATACAGTCAGTGAAGGTTCTCAAGAGGAGGAGGATCAATATAACTTGTGTTCAGGAGACCAAATGGGTGGGAACTAACGCTTGAGATGTTAACAGGTTTAAATTTTGTACTGGGGAGGCTCGGGGAATAGAAATGAAGTAGGCATTTTAGTGAATAGGAAACTTAGGGAGCTTAGTGGTTGAGGTTAGGAGGGTGAATGATAGGATGATGATGATGATTGAGCTAGTCACTGGAGGACTTACCTTGAACATAATTAGTGCATATGCACCACAAGTGGATTTGGTTGAAAAGGTTAAAAAGTAGTTTTGGGAGGATTTGGATGAGGTAGTGAGGGGTATCCCACACACCTAGAAGCTATTCATAGGAGGAGATTTCAATGGCCACAAGACAACTTCAAGGAGTTATGTTGATGTACATAGGGTTTTGGTTTAGGGGATATAAATGAAGGACGAGTTTCACTTTTGGACTTCATTGAAGCTTTTGATTTTGTGATAGCAAATTCAAGTTTCCCCAAGAAAGAGGATCACTTGGTGACCTTCTGTAGCATGGTGGCTAAGACTCAAATAGATGTCTTTCTCTTCAGGAAGTGTGATAAAAGTATATATAAGCAGGGGCGTATACAGGAGGGGATCACCGGGTTCACGTGAACCCATGGTCCCCTCCCGAAATCATATATAGTAGTGTTATATTTTTTAAAAATATTTAAATATAGATGCGTGAACCCAGACTCGAAGTATCATATAATGTAGTACGATGATGATTGGGTGCACCTCTCTAGGTGAGGTTAGAAATTTGAATCTTTTATCTATCTTGTTTTAATTTTTTTTCTAAGATTTTGTAACTGGTTTGGATAAATAAAAGTTAATTTTGGACTCATGATTTTAAAATTTTAATGGTTTTCAGTAAAAAGAATCTAATCGATCAAATTTATGTCTTAGATCCACCTTTTTGTAATAGTGCACCCATTATCTATAAATCCTGAATACGCCTCTATTAATATAAGGACTTCAAGGTTAATCCGAGTGAGTATGTTATAACTCAAGATAAGCTTTGGGTAATGGATTTAGAGATTAAGAGGAAGAAGAGGGCTTTGTAAGACCTATCAAGGGTCAGATGGGGT